TCACACACTCACACACACAAGATTATCAGGAAGAAGATCTCAATGCTTCTCACCTTAATCATAAACAGCACAACAAGAAGGGAGAAGATTTGCAGGAGCTATACAGGGGAGAGGGAGTCCGACAGAACTCGATAGAGGAGGAGGAAAGAGACGCTGTTACACGAAGGAGGAGGACGAAGGATGAGTTTCACTCACCAGCACCTAAATGATGTCAACGAGGAAGGGAGAAGAAGTAATCGATGGTGAAACAAAGAACAGGGGAATGACGAACTCGTGACTCCAACCTCTTCAACGGTGAGCAACAGAATTGTAGATTGAAAAAAAAACTTGAGCTTATTATTCACGCACACACAAGCCTCCAACAGCTAAGGAGGAAGAAAAACTAAAGCTAAACACATACGCACATGGAACTATCGAACCTGAACAAAGAAGCAACAAAAAATAGGGATGAATGAAGGATTTTGATCACTCCGCATGTTCAATAGAAGAGATGAACCAGCGAAGCAAGATGCACGCCACCGGTGAGAAGAAGAATAAGTTCAAAGGTGAGGATGAAGGTTTCAAAAATGATGAAAGAAACGAAATCTAAGTTGGTGAAGAGAAGATTCTAGGATGCTCTGTTTTTGCTTCCACACACGCGAGATATAAAACTGAAGAAAAGAACTTTTGAAAAATCACAAGAAAGAACATGAGAAAATCATAAGAAAAAGCACAATAAAATTACAAGAAAGGGCACTACATTCTCTTATAATTTTAAAATTAAGCTTTTGTTCAAAAAACCTTTGGACCCTAAGTCCTTGAGGAAATTTCTAGCATAAATTCTTATAAACTATCCCTTTCTACTTGATATTAAACTTATTTAAATAAAATATTTATTAGGAGAAAAAAATTTTATTTAATTTAAAATTTAGGGTCATTACACGTTTGTTATTCGTGGGTTTCATACTGCGTTTGATTTTGTAACTTTAAGTTGTGTTTGGTTACTTATCCTCATCGACTGTGTATCCACGTTTGTTTCATAGCTTCGGCTGCGTTTGGTTATTTACCCTCGTGAGCTATGTGTCCACGTTTGTTTATTATTCTGATACGTCCATATTATATGAATTTGATTGTTTGAAAATTTTACATCCCATTGGTTTTAAATAGTAAATTATTTATAATTATTTATTTTGTTTATTTGCTTCCTTGCAATCAAGTGATAATATTATTTGATACGATATTTTAATGGTTCAATATTTTATTTAAAATTTATAGAATCCTTTTATTTCAAAAGTTTATTAAATTGTTATGAAGATCGTTACCTATTTAAATTGCATAATTATTTCAACTTTCTTTTTATTCATGTTCAATTATTTACTGAAAAATTATTTTAGTCTCAGATAGCATAATTGACGCTGTATGTCTTTCTTACCAATGATGGATGTTTGCGGAACATAATGGAGGCTTATTCTGTAAATATGTCTTATTGATGTAAATATGAAATTTATGTATTATGTCATAAGATATATGATTAGGTGCTCTACATAACTTATAATTAGAGTCTTTAGTTTATTATATATTTTGTCTGCTAGCTGGAAGGAGCAGAGCTCTTAATTGACATAATGTTTAGGGAAAATTTGTATGATACAGAATTTTTGAGAGATCCTATTTATAGAGGAGGTTCTGTCAAAATTTGTACAAAATGTTGAAATGATTATTATAATGATTAGTATCAATAGTGTTAAAATGTCAGTGTAAAATTGATTACATTTTAATTAAATGAAATAAACCTTGAATTTGTGGCTTATGGGGTGTGTGACGTGGTTCACATCCTGTGCCGGTCACCCCCTATTTTTGGGGTGTGACATGATTATTGTTGTTAATTAAATTTTTTAGCACTTGAAATTGTCGTAATATATACTTATAAGGTTGACGAAAATGCTTTTATAAATTTTAGTACTCTTTTATTCAATAAAGACAATCTTGGAAATTGGTAAAAAAGTTTTTGAAATATTAGTTGTGAATTTTTATATTTAAAAGAATTGATGTTTTAAACAGTCCATGCGAATTTGATATTGAGAAGAGAAATTTTTTTTTGAAAGTGTTAATTTTCTTGCATGTTTGAAAATGAATTTCAAGGAGACTTTATACATAACACTAGCTGCTAACGGCAGTTCCGTTAGCCCTTGGTGCAACTTGGTCAATAACTGGCTAGTTTGATTTTCATGAGCTCTATTCTCACCTTTGTTGTTTGTGGGTCTAATACCTACGTTCGATTTCATGGCTTCAAGTCACATTTGGTTACTTACCCTCATATATTGTGTGTCTATGTTTGATTTTTTAGCTTCAAGCCGCGTTTGGTTACTTACTCTCATGAACTGTGTGTCCACATTTGTTTCGTGGCTTTGGCTGCATTTAGTTACTTATCCTCGTGGACTGTGTGTCTATGTTTGTCTTGGTGGCATAAGCCGCGTTTGGTTATTTATCCCCGTAGACTGTGTGTTTACATTTATTAATTGTTCTGATAAGTTTCCATAATTATGAATCTGATTATTTGGTGATTTTGTATTCCATTGATTTTTATTTAGTAATTTATTTACAAGTATTCATTTCAATTATGTGATTTCTTGAAATCAAGTGATATTAACATTTGCTATGATAGTTCAATAGTTTAAGATTTTATTTAAAAGTTTTATAGAGCCATTTTATTCTGAAATTTATTAAATTTTTTATAAAATTGTTGTCTCTTTAACTTACATAATTGTTTCTAAGTTTCTTATTATTCATGTCCAATTATTTATTGTTGGAATGTTATTCACTAAAAAATTATTTTTGATCTCAGACAATGTGAATGTCTTTGGACCTCCAGTTGATCATTAAGGGCCATCTTTTGACTTCAAGTGAAGAAGTTAATGACCACTCTCCTTTAGATGTAAAAATTTAAATATGAATTTTTGTTTTGTAAATCTTATTCTAGGAACTCCACGTAGCTATAGTTAAATCCCTTATATGCGTATTATGTTTAATTTGTTTCCTAGAAGGTATAGAGCTCCTTGTTGAATGCTATTTGTTACTAAAAGAAAATACTGTTGTAAAAATCTTGAAGTCTTATTTTGAGAAAGGTCATGTTGAAATTTAAAAATAAAATAAAATAAAATAAAATATTTTTTATTATTCATATTGACAATAGTTCCATTTGTTGTTAGATATATTTATGGTTCAGAACTTAGGATTTTTTAACTTCAGGCTTTCAGAATATGAGTTTTGTTCTTATATTCCCTGCCGGTCATGCCTTATTTTTAGGGTGTGACAGATTGGTATTAGAGCCTAGGTTCCCTTTAGTTATGTGGAGCAAGGATTCTTCACTAGGGTTTCAATTATCGTTATGAACCTAGGCATAATCATAATTGAAGCATCAATGAAGGCCTTTTAGAAGTCCTTGTTATGTTTTTTTTTTTTCTTGTTGCTAGTCATTTTCTTTGCCAATAAGTCCTATATACATATTGAACGTTTTTAGCATGTTTACATGCATGGTGAAGATATTTACAAGATGTTGAGTGCTATGGGGAAGGGTAAGAAGCTGAAGAGTTTCGGATAGAGTATGAACTCAATCTATTTTTATGTCCTTATTTTACTTTCTTGAATGCATATACTCTTTAACCTATTATAAATATTTTGAGTTCAATAATTTCTATATCTTTCTTGAACAGAAGATAACTTCAAGATTACAAGTGCATGATTGAGTGACAATTGAAATGATGTCGTAGGGGGTAGCAAAATTGTAAGAATCTTGGTAGATATTTTATTTGAAAGTGCAAATAGAAGAGTTGAAAAAAAAAAATTTATGTCGTCTATTACTTCAATGCTTTGGAGGAAGTTAAACTTATATGAGGATACTTAGTGGCCATGTGTTGCTGACACCACATGATGAAAGCAACTAAATAAAATAAAAAAAAACAAAAAAGCAGCAGATAAAAGAGTCTACAAAGTCCCTTTGAGATTGAGATCAAGCAAATCCTTCAGGTATATAAAGTCTATCATAATAAATCAGGTTGGAGTATCATAGTAACAAATGTTATAGAGTGTTGACTTTTGTTTCTATTAAGCTTAGCTGATGAGGTTATAGATTGGTAAATAGATAAGCATTGTTGTTAACTAATGAAATGTGATAAAAGGTTTGATCTGACCAGTAGGAGCAACACTTGGTTTACCTAGTTGAGGGTTAAAGAAGTCAGTTGTGATGTAAGAATAAGATTTGAAATTCAAGTGATGAAAAATTTGAATTATGGCTTAAAGAACGTAGGAACTAGTATGGTTTATTATGCATATGACTTAATGTGTGTCAATGCAAGCCAAGCTGTCATTTTGAATTACAAGGTCAATATTAAATAGTGAACCTGATTTACATGTTATATGACTGGTTAGAAATATGTTCATGATGGAGAAGTCCAAAGGAACGTAAGTTCAAGCATTTGAGGTTTAAAATATAGCCAAATAAGTAGTGAAAAGTATGGCTGCAGTTAAAATCCTTAGGTTGTATTTTAAGATGAAATTTGGCACGCACTTAAAGAACGTGTAGAAGTTTCATTTTCCCAAATATGGTAATATTTGAAGGTCTAGATAATAGTTTATAAATTTTTGAATTCAGTCCAAAAAGCTGTCATAAAACAGTTTTGCATATTCTGTATCTAATATGATGTTTTATGATTTTCCTGGACTAAATGGACTTCAATGTCTTTGAAATTTTAACAGTAGAAGGTGCAAGGACTTCAAATTGGTCAACTACCCACTATGGTCATTAGGAATTGAAGTTTCTTGAATTTCATGAGGTATTATCATTATTGTGCATAGAATTTTTCATGACAAAACTAATTCAAAGGAAAGTGGAGTTGTAGGGAATGAATCTTATGAGTCTTCAAAAGAGTAATTAATTAAATGACTAGACATGAAAATTGATGACTAAGAGATAAGAAACCTGTTCTTCTCCAGTCCCATAAGGAATCCAGCTTCACCCAATGCAGCTAAGAGGTTCCGTTATTTTTTGTGGCATCACCCTCTTGAACAGCATATTCACTAACAAAAGCCTTAGGACCGGAACGAGGTATCTTATCAAACTTGGTATGGTTTTTGAACATAGTTGTAGAATCTTTATATATGTGGAAGTCATATAATTCTGCCGGGTGGTCCAAAGGTTTTGCAGTAGCATCGCAATTTGATATAATTTGCATGTCTGGATATGCACGTTTTATGGCAGCGTAGAACTTAAGATAGTTCCCATGGTAGTTAGGCATACCACAATTCTCGTTTCCAATAGCAACATACTGTAAGTCAAAGGGTTCAGGGTGACCTAAAGAAGCTCTTATTTTACCCCATCTTGATGTGGCAGGACCTCTCGTAAATTCAATACCATCAAGGGCTTCCTATATAACAATTAACACAAGGTAAACTGAAGAGACTCAAAGAAAATGACGATTAACTAATAAGAAAGGCGTATAAAACATAAAGAGTTTAAATTATACCTGAATCATAGGACCAATTCCCGTGGTATTGACTGAGTCGTGAAAGCTAATACCAGTGTTAAATACCCATATTGGGGCTGCACCAAGATCCTCTGCCAACTGTTCCATTAATGGATATTTTTAATAATTAGTATATGATAACAAAATTAAGCGTAAATATTGAGAATCAAAACGAACTAACCTGAAGAAATTCTAAATAACCAAATCCATCATCAACCCAATAACCCCATGCATCATTGAAGTGACCGGGTCTCTTCTCCCATGGTCCAATGGTGTACTTCCACCTGAATGCATTTAGGATAATAATAAAAACTAATTCAAAAGCTGTAGGGAAAGAGATTCTTATTTAGGAGGAGAATGATGGAATTACTCAAAATTATGATTGCACTATTTTTATCATGATTGGCAGAGTTAATATTAAGTAGAAAATCCATGGACAGCATGATACAAAAAGTAGTAGTAGTGAAGAGACTATTGATAAAAGAAGTTCATGAATTAGAGCAAAATGGAATGACGTTTGAATTTGAAAAAGGAACATTTTAACTTATGTGCAAACTGATTCTTCTCTAATTGTTGAGGTTACAAGTTCTCATAGTGCAAGCTCAAAACTGTGCAAGTTGCTTGCAACAAAAAAAAAATGGAGTGACACTAAATTAGTTATTGATTAGGAGGAAATATTAAGATATACTAATAGAATATGGATGTGCCTTAAGTGAAGGTATCATAATTAAGGAATAGATTGAAGTCATTATATATCAAATATTTGTATTGTGGTGATGGTATGAGGAAGGTCATAATAATGGGATTTATCTCCTGCTTATTGGTTGTGTGCAAATTAAGGTGAAGTATTAGAAATTGACATGATTGATCAATGATTGGATAATATTGTGGAATTTTATAGAGTTTCACTATCGTGTTCGTGGATTGAGGACTGTAAAGTACTTTGTTCCTTTGGTAGGTCGCTCAAGAGTCTTTAGGTATTATCATGATTAAGGATTATTATGGAAGAACAATTCAAATTTTAGACATTTTGTTAAGATATTGCATTTTGTTTCTTGGAGGAAGTTGGGCAATCAATTACTTGGTATTCGTAAGAAGTGAATATTATAATAGTTATCAAGCTAGAATTTACAATTTTAGGAGTTTTTCGATAAATAATGAAGATTTACAATTGAATGGTTTGATGTTAAAAAAAAATTATATTGATGATAGACACTTGAGAGTTAGAATTTATAATTGAAAATAGTGGTTCCCATATTAATGCTGTGAAAGTACATTTATGACCCCCCTAATGTTATTGAAGCTCAAAGAAATTAGGTAGAATGATGATTCATTGTATAAATAAGTTCTTGAAGACAGTTTAGTTTGACCAATAAAGAAGTTATAACAATAATAATGGAAAGAGAGAAAAGAAAGAAGGATTTACTTCTGAAGCTTCACATGTGGAACGTTGAAAGTGAGATGCATGTCAAATACTTACACTTACTTGAGGATTAAAGTAATCACTTATTGAAATTTAGAGGATCGAATTTTTTTTAACAGGGAAAGAATGTAATAATTTAAAAAAAAATAGTTTAAAATAAATTTATATTATTGTGATTGTATTTTATTAATTTTGGTACAAATATCATGAGAAAGAGAGAAAACGGTGCTCTAGTGATGTGTGTGCTCTCGAAAGTTACTGTCATATCTTTAGTTTGAAAAATCTTGGTCCAAACAAAGAGATTTTTATTTGGCTTTGGCTTTGGTTAAAATTACTATAATGCCCTTTAAAAAAATTTAATTAATAAATAAATCAATAAATATAACAATAGATTTTTTTGTCTGCTCCTCATCTCCATTTTCTCGACTACTCTTGAACAAGGAGGGAGAGAAATTTGCTCTTCATTCTTCGTTCACCCTCCACCTTCCTTTCCGTTTTGTCGCCAGTGATTGTGAGTGCTGGAATCTTCCTCTTCATCCTCCTTTGTGATTGATGCCAACAACCTCCTTCCTTTCTAGAGCTGGCTCATGTCTGAATTGGGGGAGAGTAAGAGAAAATCTGTCGCCCTCTTCCTCCTCCTCGTAGCTCGCCACTACCGTAGGTAAATACAGGAGCTCCGTCCATCACTCGAATCCATGCTCTGGGTTCTTCAATGTTTTACTATGGCAGTTAGTTTGTTGTTGTAAGAGGTTCAAATTGAGGCTATCTCTCTTCCCCTACACCACTGCCGTTCTTCTTTTGCCTTTGCCATTAGGTCTCTCATTCCTCATCTTGAATTGCTTCAAGAATTCAAGGACAAAGCACTGTTCCTATTAGATTTGTTTAGGAGTAAGTTATACACTTGGGAGCTCTATAGGTAAGTGAATAACGTCTCAATTAATTTATATATTTGCAAATTTTCTCTTATCAAATATTATTTTTAACAATTTACAATTATTAATATATATTTTTCTAGCACTAATTATTGTTGTTAATTAAATTTTTTAGCACTTGAAATTGTCATGATATATGCTTGTAAGATTGACGAAAATACTTTTATAAATTTAAGTACTCTTTTATTTAATGAAGACAATCCTAGAAATTGGTGAAAAAGTTTATGAAATATTAGTTGTGAAGTTTTATATTTAAAAGAATTAATGTTTTAAACAGTCCATGCAAGTTTGATATTAAGAAGAGAAAATTTTATTTTAGTGATGATTTTCTTACATATTTGAAAATGAATTTCAAGGGGACTCTATATAGAACATTGGTTGCTAATGGCAATTCCGTTAGCCCTTAGCACACCTTAGTCAATAATTAGCTAGTTTGATTTTTGTGAGCTCTATTCTCACGTTTGTTGTTCGTGCGTTTAATACCTGCGTTTGATTTCATGATTTTAAGCTGTGTTTAGTTACTTATCCTCATGGACTATGTATCCACGTTTGATTTCACGGCTTCAAGCCGTGTTTGGTTACTTACTCTTATGGACTGTGTGTTTATGTTTATTTCCTAGCTTCAGCTGCATTTGGTTACTTACCCCTCGTGAACGGTGTGTTTACGTTTGTTTCGTGGCTTCGACTGCATTTGGTTACTTATCCTCATGGACTGTGTTTTCATGTTTGTTTCATGGCTTTGGCTGCATTTGTTTATTTATCCTCGTGGACTATATGTCCACATTTGTTAATTGTTCTGATAAGTTCCTATAATTATGAATCTGATTATTTGGTGATTTTATATCTCATTGATTTTTATTTAGTAATTTATTTACAAGTATTTATTTTAATTATGTGATTTCTAGAAATCAAATGATATTAAAATTTGCTAGGATAGTTCAATGGTATAAGATTTTATTTAAAAATTTTTTAGAGCCATTTTATTTTGAAATTTGTTAAATTTTTCATAAAAATTGTTGTCTTTTTAACTTATATAAATTTTTTAAATTTTCTTATTATTCATGTTCAATTTTTTATTGTTGGGATGTTATTTACTAGAAAAACTACTTTTGTTCTTAGATAATGTGAATGTCTTTGGACTTCTAGTTGATAATTGAGGGCCATCTTTTGATTTCAAGTGAAGAAGTTAATGGTCACCCTCCTTTCGATGTAAAAATTTAAATATGAATTTTTGTTTTGTAAATCTTATTCTAGGGGCTCCACGTAACTATAGTTAAATCCCTTATATGCGTATTATGTTTAATTTGTTTCCTAGTAGGTATAGAGCTCCTTGTTGAATGCTATTTGTTACTAAAAGAAAATACTGTTGTGGAAATCTTGAAGTCTTATTTTGAGAAAGGTCATGTTGAAATTTAAAAATAAAATAAAATAAAATCTTTTGTTTTTGTTATTCATATTGAAAATAGTTCCATTTGTTGTTAGATATATTTATGGTTCAGAACTTAGGATTTTTTAACTGAAGGCTTTCAGAATATGAGTTTTGTTCTTATATTCCGTGCCAGTCATGCCTTATTTTTAGGGCATGACATTTCTAGCACAATATATGAATATAATTGTCACACCCTGGTATTAAGGTATGATTGGCACAGAATATGAGATAATATCACATTCCATAAGCCTTAATTAACAAAAATTAATTATCAATATATAGTTTTTATATACGTTTATAAAGTTTGTAAAGTCTTAAATATTTTGTAGAAATTTCGGCAGAGTCTCCCTTATAATTTAGGCCTCCCAAAATCTTACAATAGCGAAACCAATCAATCAATTCAATAAAGGAGACTAGCTCTACATACCAGCAAATTATATACCAGCAAAATAAAATTAGGACCTAATTATGGTATACGTGGAGCAAATAAGACCTCACAAAACTTTTCAACATAATTTCCAGCACAACAACCACAAGGAGCTCTGGTCCTATCAGTCGACAAGCAAATAATAGTTAATCAAGATGAGGATCCTGACTATAGTTTTACATAAGGGACATATTATGATGACTCTGCAGATTCTTTGCCTGGAAAATGGATGTGAGTCATACGCACGATAATCTCAAAGTTTGACTGGTTAATCTTTCTTTTTATTCCAATTTGAAGCCATCTAATTGGTTGGACGGCGTAAAAGAAAAATTCGAAGGACAATAACTGCCGATTCAGCCCAAAGATCCTATACAAAACACAGCCCCACTACACGTTAGATTATTCTAAATACAACATACCACGGTTACTATAAATACCAAGTTCCTAGGTCCAATATAGTCCCTACCAAAAACTACCTGGTTGATTTCTGAAACACTAATTTGATCACAATCATCACATCATGCAGAAGCTTACTGTAGTATGCGTTTTCTTGGTCTTTCCTCTAAGTGCAGGAATAAGCGAGGCAAGGTCCCTGAGTCCAACAACGGCGAGTCTGAGAGTGATGATGAGAGAACGATTGAGTAAGCTACGAGCTCAGCCAAATGCTGATAATGACAGACTGAGAGACAGCAACCCTTCGTGTGATGTAGGGTGGACCTGATCCGCGTCATCATCATTTTGAGATAAAAACTTAGCATCGTTTCAGAGGAAAGCTATATTTTCACTGCTTCACAAGATCAATATCTAGTTGTTGGCCCAAAAAAAAAAAAGATTAATCTCTAGTCGTGTCTCTAATTTGCCTCTCTCTAATGCTCTTTGTAATGCTACATCCTCTCATTTTTATTTTTCATTTTTTATCATTACCTTCTATATAGAATGAGAAACATTCTAATATCCTGCAGAAAAGAAATGATGCAGTTTTGTATTTTTATGATTGTTCAAAGAAAAATATCAAAATTGAACAATTTTATGGTATTTTTCTTTGAAAATCATACAAAAAATACAAAACTGCAAAGTTTCATCATTGCATGATGCATAATGTCTCTCATTTTA